CCATTTTGTCATTGTTTCTTTTAAGATCTAGCAAAAAGCCTAAGTGCCAGATGTATTTTTTCCCTTTTTGTTTTTAATAAAATTTACCTTTTTTAAGAACAGGATTGGATTTTTGGTGTCCTAAGAGGTTTGTGCATGTTGTTTGATTAGCTGATAGGAAATTAGCTGTGACTTTCTCAGCTCTTCCCAGGAGTGTGGGGTGTGAAAGGGCTTGAGGGTACGGGGAGGAATTCCCAAGTGCTCCTTCCTGGGTTCAAAGGTTGTTTTTTTTTTTGCATTTGGGTGCTGGCAGCATTTACCAAGCCAAGGTCAGAGAAAAGCTGTAACCTTGGGAGTTTAATAGAAGCCTAGAGTGGCAAGTATTAATTTTTAAAATCCTTGCGGGCCCCCACTTCTGCACTCGGAGTGACAGAGTGGGGATTCAGCCTTGACACATGCCATCACATAGAGATGTACACAGAATAAGGGCCAGATTCTAATACCCAACAGGAGTACTTGGAGAGTAAACTACTACTCATCATGAGGGTTTCAGAATCTGGACCTAAGCTACTTTGCAGCAGCACCAGCAGCAGTTCTCCGAATATTATCTATTGTTTGTATAGTGGTGGCACCTAGGAACCCCAGCCATTGACCAGAACTCCAGGGTGCTAAGTGCAAAAATGATGGTCCCTGTCACAAAGGGCATATTGCCTTCACAATCCCTGGAATTGCTCCACATTGACCTGGAACCATTAAAAGTATTTTACCTAGTTGAAGGTCACATGCTTCATTGGCACCGAGACTTTCTATAAAAAAGCCACATTGATCTTGCCATCTTCAAATCCTTGCCCATCTGTTCAGTACATGGAAATTCCAATTGGAAATGGAGATGGAAGGAGAGGGACTATGTTCTGCGACAGAATTGTGACCAAGTTTAAAAGGACTCTGGGGCTACCAGTTTCCCATCTGGTGCACTGCTGATCTGGGTAGAATGGTAAAAAGGAAAGGAGAAGCTGATATAGAGGACACTATCACAGAGGATGGGTGTGTCCTCCTTCCTCCCAGAGAGATGAAATTGGACATGAGTGGTTATTACCCAGCTGTTTGACTTGATTTGTTATGATTTTGAGTTTTGTTTTTGGAAATAAAAGCAAGCCCTGAAAAATTGGATCTTTTCTCCAATCGTCCTAAGAGGTTGGAATTTTTGTTTCCTTCTCAACTGACACGTGTGCACGCTGGTTTGCAGCAATATATTTGGAAAACTCCAGATACTGGCTAAGCAACCCACTGGGGATCCCTACATCATTACATCCACAGGTTGGATGGTTTGCAGTGATTGAGGTAAATAGTATTTAACAGTTGCTGCATTCAATGCTCTGTGAGTGAAATCTAGCACAAGACTTTAGCACCAAAATCATTTCTTTGTGCTCACCCAATCTGTTCATTTTATTCATCAGCTGTCTCTCATTTTACACTTAGATTGTAAACTTTTCAGGGCAGTGCTCATCTTTTTGTACAATCTCTAGCACAATGGAATCTTGATCTCTAACTGGGGGTTCTAAGCATTACAGATCTACAAATAAAAAATAGGGCAAATTTGCTATATTTTCCCAGTGCTGCCATTCACACTTGGGGGTGAAGTTCACCCTGAATGAATCTAGAGTCCTGCAAGGGAAAAATTGTATGTGACCACTGAATTAAAACATGCCTTATAATGTATATGTACAGAGGGACAACTAGCATGCGTAACTTTAACTTTGATATTTCAGTACTTTTGAGTGCTTCACTTTGCAACATTAACATTCTTCTAATACATTTTTGTATTTGAACATAAATTATTTCTGTCTGCAAGCATAGCAGTTGTGGAGACCCTGTTTAGAAATATGCATATAACTTCCACATAGATACTCAAGACAATCCTCTGAGCGTCTCTCAAAAATTCTTACAATAAAAATGTAATTTTTTATTGACAAAAACTAGCCATAAACAATTCAAACACCAAATGAATCATTTATTATGATGGATTAAATGGGATTCACTGGGAAAAAGATGGCAGAATTTGATTTTAATATGTTACAGAACAACAAGATGTAAGAATCCAATTTTAAATTATTGTTCTATGACCACACCTAGTAATAAGATACTTAAACATAAAGGACTTGATGCAAAGCCAATGGGAATCTTTCCACTGGCTTCAGCAGGCCTTGGATCAAACCACTAAACCAGTTTTAACCTACGTTAGGATAGGATAGATGTAACATACCAATCCTGAGCCTAAATTCAGGTGACCAAGGCTCAATTCCACAGAAAGTTTGACCTAAGTTATGTGGCAAGGAGCCTGCATTCTATGACGCTCCAGTCCAGCAGACTGGAGATTTTTCAGCTACTTCAGATAAATAAAACAATTGAGGTTTTTATTGAACTAAATATGAAAATGAGTATAACAGCAACAGCAGCTCCCCTGTTATTAAATTTAATATAAAATCTAATTTATTTGATGGTCTGTCTACATTTTTAGGGAGGAGTTTTCAAAAGTGCACAGAATTGGTCTAATGCTGCTCCCACTGATGTTGATGGGAGTTTTAACATTGTCTTCAGTGGGGACAGAATTAAGACAATACTGAATGCTTTTAAAAGTCCCACCCTAATTTGATGCAGATTTTTGAAAGTGCATAACTGAACTTTAGAAGTTGTCAAGGGAAAACTGGGTAGAGAATAGTTGGGACTTTGAGCATCTGGAAACATGTGAGTTTATGATACGAGCATATTAGTTGGATGTAATAATAATCATCAGCTGTGAGATACTTAACAACAGCTAGGTCATAGAAGATTAGCATTGGAAGAGACCTCAGGAGGTCATCTAGTCCAACCCCCTGCTCAAAGCAAGACCAACCCCAACTAAATCATCGCAGCCAGGGCTTTGTCAAGCAGTGCCTTAAAAACCTCTAAGGATGGAGACTCCACTACTTCCCTAGGTAACCCATTCCAGTGCTTCACCACCCTCCTAATGAAATAGTTTTTCCTAATATCCAACCTAGACCTCACCCCTGCAACTTGAGACCATTGCTCCTTGTTTGGTCATCTGCCACCACTGAGAACAGCAGAGCTCCATCCTATTTGGAACCCCCCTCCAGATAGCTGAAGGCTGATATCAACCCCCCACCCCACTCTTCTCTTCTGCAGACTAAATAAGCCCAGTTCCCTCAGCCTCTTCTCATCAGTCATGTACCTCAGCCCCCTAATCATTTTCGTTGCCCTCTGCTGGACTCTCTCCAATTTGTCCACATCCTTTTTGTAGTTGGGGGCCCAAAACTGGACGCAATACTCCAGATGTGGCCTCACCAGTGTTGAATAGAGGGGAATAATCACTTTCCTCGATCTGCTGGCAGTGCTCCTACTAATGCAGCCCAATATGCCGTTAGCCTTCTTGGCAACAAGGGCACACTGTTGACTCATATCCAGCTTCTCGTCCACCATAATCCCCAGATAGCAGACACTGATACTGGCATAATTAGATCTTTGTTTGTATACTGTATCCCACTCTCCCTAGCTTTGTCTGTCTCCTGTCTTTTAGGACGTAAAACTCTTCAGGGCAAGGACTTTCTCTTCATTTGTGCTGAACAAGAACCTTTGTGTTGTACCAGAATATAAATTAAAATAATTATTCAAAGTTGACCTCCCATTGAGATGTATGGCATAATTCACACATCTCAGAGCTTCTGTTTCAGATTGTCAGTGGTTTCTGGCACACACAATATTGACTTATACTTGGTATATGTTTGGAAGGTTTTCTTTGCTGGATCCAATTGTAATCTGTAGCCAAGGATAAAAGATATCGGGTATATTTAGGATATGGAGGTGAAATATAAGTATTAATTAATGTTGTAATTAGGCCTGTAAGATATTTAGCATTGCCAAATTAGGCCATAGGACAAGTTACCATAAGTACATTAATAATAAACCTGCTGAGCTTGTGTCTATGTTTGTGATACGATGATGTTTCGGAAATAATTGCTGAGTTTGAACAATAATGTTATGAGAGATCAGCAGATATCACAAGATGACCGCTGATAGCTGGGGTGAAATGTTAGAGACTTCCCTAAGGTAGCCACCTGTTAGCATGGTGACAAGGTGACATAAATGTTAATGAATACAAGGGGAACTAATGAGTTATCCTGTGAAAAACGGGAAACCCAAAAAGTAGTGGGATGTGGCAATTCAAATAAGGAAAAGGGGCTAAAACTTTCATAAATATGTACAACCCCAGTGGGCGTCAACGTAACATGTTATGACAGCTGTATCCCACCCTGTGTGCCTTTGTTGAGGAGAGATGCCAGGATGACAATTGAGAGGTTTGTCTATAAGGCCTTGGTGTGAGTAATCCAAATATTATACTGTCTGTACTGGTGTCTCTCTCCTTTACCAGATTGCAGTATGTGTATTGTTTGGTTGGTTAGTAAAAGTAATTATTACAGAAAAAGCACTATGTAGTCTCATGCACCGTGAGGTCCGCCCTTCTATTGGTAACCTTTCCACTGCAATCAATCTTGGGGGCTGAATTCTCACAGATTAAAGTAGGTGTAAACCCTCACCTTGGGGTGAGTAATTGGTTAACATAACATAACCATAGGCACACAGTCTGAGACAACATTAGCTAGTGAGAAGTTGAACAAACAGCATGTGACAAAAGGAGGTAACCTTAAAGCAAGGGAACATCTTTATTTATAAAGAAATTCTTCCTCTGTTCATATATCTTGTTTTCAGTTGAATGAGAACCTTCAAACTACAACTGGCATGTTAATGGGGTGCAAAATTCTGTCTCTAATGATGAACTGTTCTATTTGTAGATTTGCTGATCTAAAAATTTAAATTATGACAACTTCACAAACCCACAGATATTTTAGCATGAAATAATAGATTATGGTATAATATTGTGCAGAGTAATTAGATATAAACCAACAGAATGTGACTGTGTGAAAATGGAAATACATTTTGATGTAATGATATAAACTGTTACTTACCTTGTTCCTCATTGACAAGGCCCATATTTGCATGCGCTTCAGCCTCTTTTTTCCCACCATCTATTTTGATCAGCTGAGCAGTGCTTAAGCATTGTTCATAAAAATAATTCCTTAACCATTTGTCCTCAGGGTTGTTGAAGCAGTAGGCCAAATTAAGTTGGTTATTGTACACCTCCTCATAGTACTCTTAAAATGTAAAAAAAAATGACAACTCAGTCACAACAATGGAACATTATTAACTTTCAAGATGAAGGCCTCTTTGGTAAAATTAGATTTCTTTTCATATAGTAGTAGTGAACGCATAATAAACATATCAGTTAAAGGGATGTTTACTGTGCCCCATTCATCTACATACAGTTACACTCTCTTAAATAAATACTTGATTAAACAAATATAAACTAAGGAAAAGGGATAAACTTCCAAGTAAAAGCACCACTGAAAAATGAATTGTGGCAGGAATATGAACATGAATAACAGACCAAAATATATTTCATCAAAATATGTGAAAAAGTACCTGTAACAGAAATGGACTTACTAGAAAGCATACTCCTGTGTCAGCACAACATGTGAATGTCAGAGCTTAGAGCAGCACAATCCCACTAAAGAAGGGAGTGCTTTATATGACTCTTAAACAATCTCCACTGATTGAGACTGCAAAGGCATTGACAGGATTCAGAATGGGCATGAGTCTGAAACAGAATCACTGTCTGTATCTAAGGGTATGTATACATTGCAATTAGACACCTGTGGCTGGCCCACGCCAGCTGACTTGGGCTAAGGGGCTGTTTAAGTGCAGTGTAGACATTATGAGGACATCCCACCTTGGAAGGTCCTAGAGCTCAGGCTTCAGCCCGAGCCTGGATATCTATACTGCAATTAAACAGCCCTGAAGACCGAGCCCTATGAGCCTGAGTCAGCTGGCACAGATCAGCTGCGGGTTTTTAATTGCAGTGTAGACATACCCTTAGTGGTTGTAGTGAAGGAGGTAAAGGGAAAACAAGGAAACCAATAATATCTGAAAAAAAAATCCTATATTAAACATATTTATCTAACTAATCTTGACTATTTTCATATCCATTTTACGCATTACAAGTAAAAAGGAATAATGAAAAAGGCTAATAGTATTCATGTACATTTCTGTTTCTAGTTCCTTAAAAACTGTTACAAATTAACGGCAAGACTGAAACTTTATATTTTGCTACGAATAAGGGTTAGTGCATAGAGGTGCTGCCTACAAAGCAGCTCTGGAAAGTACATGTGACTCAAACCCTAAATCCCTTGGCTTAAAAGGAGAAAACAGTCTGCTCCTGCTCTTTACCAATAGCAGATTACTTCCTAGTGGCATGCTGAGAGAACATAAGAACGTGGCCATACTGGGTCAGATCAAAGGTCCATCAAGCCCAGTATTCTGTCCTCTGACAGTGGCCAATGGCAGGTGCCCCAAAGGGAATGAACAGACAGGTTATCATCAAGTGATCCATTCCCTGTCACCCAATCCCAGCTTCTGGCAAACAGATGCTAGGGACACCATTCCTGCCATCCTGGCTAATAGTCATTGATGGACCTATCTTCCATGAATCTATCTAGCTCCCTTTTGAACTCTGATATAGTAGTGGCCCTCACAACACCCTCTGGCAAGGAGTTCCAGAGGTTGACAGTGTGTTGCCCTTTTCCAATTCCAATATAACTTTTTTTGAGATGGGGCAACCACATCTGCACGCAGTATTCAAGGTGTGGGTGTACCATGGATTTATATAGAGGCAATATCTATCCCTTTGTTGATGATTCCCAACATTCTGTTCTTTTTGTTGATGGCTGCTGCACATTGAGTGGATGATTTCAGAGAACTATTCACAATGACTCCAAGATTTCTTTCTTGAGTGGTAACAGCTAATTTAGACCCCATCATTGTGTATGTATAGTTAGAATTATGTTTTCCAATGTGCATTACTTTGCATTTATCAACATTACATTTCATCTGCCATTTTGTTGCTCAGTTTTGTGAGATCCTTTTGTAGCTCTTAACTACCTTGAGTAGTTTTGTATCATCTGCAAATTTTGCCACCTCACTGTTTATCTCTTTTTCCAGATAATTTATGAATATGTTAAATAGGACTGGGCCCAGTACAGATCCCTGGGGGACACCACTTTTTACCTTTCAGTAAATTGATTCCATTTATTCCTACTCTTTGTTTCCTATCTTTTAACCAGTTACCAATCCATGAGAGAACCTTCCCTCTTATCCCATGCTTACTTATTTTGCTTAAGAGCCTTTGGTGAGGGACCTTGTCAAAGGCTTTCTGAAAATCAAAATACACTATATCCATTGGATCTCCTTTGTCTGCATGCTTGTTGACCCGCTCAGAGGACCATTCAAGGGCTCCATCCACTCTCCATCCACCTGCGAAAGTAAGGATGAAGTAGCAGCCTCACAGAGTATGCTCTCTCCACATGTACAAACCAACAGTATGTCACAATCTTGCCCTAAAATTTATAAAGATTCTTGAAATGTAATTCATTATTCAGCTTCTCAGCAACCTAAGTAACTGCACATTGGACACCTTATGAAGCTTAATTAAACTGTTGCTAGCTGCAAGTCCAAAATCCAAGGAGTGTTAATATATTATCAAATGTATTATTTATTTCTGTAAGTTACAGCTTATATGAAATAGGAGAGATTTCCTATCAGAAGAGTACAGTTAGAAATCACAGGAGATTATCTCGATGCTCTGCTGAATTAGGTTAATGATCTGGTGTTTAGAAGCATCGGACTGAAGAACTTTGACAATAATTACCACACTGTCTCCTCTTACCATGGGTTTGAATCACCTATTCTCTCAGGGGCTCAGAGGGTCCACAGAATTAATTAGCGGAACATATAACCCTTCTGTCTAATTCACAGATGCAAAAATATCAGGTCAAATTTAATGCTGACATAAGGCAATGAATTTGTCTCCACTTAAGCCAGAGATAAATTTGGACAACTGACTAAAATGCTATTGTAATTTTGATTGATATGTTGTGTATGTGGCTGGTGACTGAGTGGAAGCCCAGGAACATATTCTTAAAGGAATTGAATGTATTTGGGGAGATGGAGGAGTTAAAACAGACATCTCTCTCATCAGGAAGACAAGGTGGGCGAGGTAATATCTTTTATTGGACCAAATTGTGACTGAGACAAGCTTTCGAGCCACACAGAGAAGAGATGTGTAGCTCAAAAGCTTGTCTCACTCACCAACAGAAGTTGGTCCAATAAAACATATTACCACACCCACCTTGTCTCTCTAATATCCTGGGACCAAGACAGATACAATTGCATGCATATCTCACAGCAGGTCAGACAGTGTTTCGTGAGAGAAACTGTTGGCTAGCTGAAGGTGTGAACACAGCTGCTTTGGTGTTCAGGAGTTCTGTGAGTTGTAAGTTTTGCTGTTGTTTTTACAGTTAATTACCTTTTGTGCTCAAAGCAATGACAGGATCTACATGCAGGAATAGGAACAGATACCCTGAACTTGCATCCACTTCTCTCTCAACAAGGAAACCCACTTCTGAGTGAAATCTTGGGCCTGCCAATGTCAATGGAAAAAATCCAATTGATTTCAAAGGGGCCAGGATTTCACTCCTGGAGTGTAAATGTTTCCTTACAGCTTAGAAATCAAGACACCACATCAAAACATTATTAAATTCTATGCTGAAGCCTTCAGATAATAGCTGATCTAACAGGGAAACTCAAGCCTAAATGTACATTTTTCAAAAGAAGTTTTAGGGGGAGCCAAAAAAGTCAAACCTCTGTAAAGAACTAATATAAGGATTGCAAATGATAACTTTCACGTCAGTCACTTCAGCTGTCTGAACAAAAAGATATTAGTAATTACTTCTGTACAAAATTTACAGCTCCTTGCTTCAGTTCTAACCAGGAAAGAGATTTTTTCCACAGCCTCCCCATTTTTATATCTTTCATTTCAAAATCAAAACTTGAATTACAAATTTGCTAATATGAAGTACTCTGAGTGCCTTGTACTATCTGCTTACAAGATTAAGTTCTTTATCACCTCAAGTTAATCTTGATGAAGCACTGCAGCAAGTAGCATATAACAGAATTCTTTTTATTCTTCATGTGTGCTATTCCCTGTTCTGACTTTTCCAAGTATCACATACCCGTTCATCTTTCTTGCCATCCTTGACACATTTAGCTAGTGCTTTAACGTCTTTCATTTTTGATCTGATCCTGGCCAATTTGAGTAATGTGAGCTGATTTTTTCCGTTTAATGTTTTCTGAAGCCACTCTGAACTCTCTTTTCTTCCACTCTTCCTGCCCATTTATTTGTTTTCTTTTGACAACTAAACTTACTTCCCTTGTTAAACAATTCTGTCCTCTTGTTAATTCAACCTTTGTCTTCTCCATTCCTGTTTGTTTTCTCAGAGTTATCTTAATTGTTCACGTATCAGAAGGGTAGCAGTGTTAGACTGGAGCTATAAAAGTGGCAAAGAGTCCTGTGACACCTTATAGACTAACAGACGTATTGGAGCATAAGCTTTCGTGGGTGAATACCACATGCATTCTTACATTCCACAGTTTCCATCCTTTTTAAGATTCCATAATCAGCTTCCTTTAAAATACACAGAATTTTCATTTGAAGACTCTGTTATTTTTTTAGGCCAAAAAATTCTGTGACTCTGAATTATCTTTTCAGCACTTGTAACTCACTGCTACTCCATTTTATTCTTCTGACAGATTCATTTGCTTCTTGGTTACCACAAATAGGCTTCCTGTGTCCTTTGTTGTGTTATCATTCCCAATCATTGTGTTTCCTCAATGAAAATTTTACTCTAATTTTTGTCTCAATAATGTGATGCAAATTCAGTTCCAGTGTTCAGCGTTTTCTTCTATTCCCAAACAAACAACTATTAACCTTCATGTAATGGATAAAGATTTTAGTCATTTCAGCTGGAAATGGTCAAGTTGTAATAATTTACTTAATACTGCTCAAAGAGACAGATATTAAAATTTCACAATGCAAGACTGAACTTAATGCTTGCTGAAATTTAGGGATGCAAGGGAACTTGAGGTCATCTAATCCATCCACCTGTACTGGGGCAAGATCTACTATCTCTGAGAGGTCTTTCTCTAACCTGTTCTTAAAAAACCTCCAATGATGTGGATTCCACAACCTCCCTTGGTAATC